TCACTCTCTGTTTCTGCAACTGTACACTTATACTGTGCTGTTGAAAATAAGCAGATATCTGCAAACTGACGAACTGAAAATGGAAAAAGAAATGTCACTACTATTAAAATATACAATAATGTACCTCCAACTTGTACCAAAAAAATACAAATTAAGCCACAATTATTTATTAACACTGATTATACAAGACAGAAATGTCCACTTATCAATTTCACTACAACCAAAACTTATTTCTTCATCTAGTGTAAACCCTTCACATACAAAAAATCTCTGCCAATACGAATATATTTTACTTTCATTAAAGGCATTTGAGTTAAAATTAAAAAAAAAAAAAAAACAGATAAGACATTCATTGGAGTTCGAAAAGACACAGGACACTTACTTGAAACTTTAATTTTCTTGACACTCTTATTGGAATTATTCTGTATATGGACATTCACTGCAACTGTCTCTCCATGATAGTACAACTGAAAGGAAGGTAAAATTACGTGTATTTATATACACCTCTTTCTATATTGGACTAACTTTGAAAATGCAATGAAATTCAAGTATTCTAATAATACCAATCTTAATTAATCTCCATTTCCAATATTTTTCATGAGTTTATAAGGTATTATAAAAATAATAAAATAAAACTAATAATACACTCGTAAAACTTTATAAAAATATCTATATTGAGTTTTCCCATATGGTAAAGCTGCAAAATCACTATCTCACCTCTTTGTCTAATGATGCCTCCAGGTGTAACTTGTTTGGAGACATCATGAACTCCTTGCTAACCTCTACACTTGGCTGTTCTCCTTGCTTTATAGGGGCATACATGACCTTCCTGATTGCCAGTCGAACTGAATTTCTTGAAGTTGGAGAAAAAATCAAGCTTTACCCAAAATTCATCATAATGGAGAAAAACATTACAAAAATGAAATTACTCACATGATCAATATCAACAATGAGGCAACATTTACTCTTTATCTGTGAACAGGACTCTTACTTACCGTTTGTGAGGTTTATCATCAACCGTGTCTCCTACATAAGCCTTCAGTTCATAATCAACACCACAGGGTTTTCCCATGTCTCCTGGTGCTGGTTGTAATGTGACAGAGGCAGGGCAGTGTGGAGGTAGCTCAAAGAAGAACGGAAAGGCATTGGGGCCTAATTTCTTGATGAGTCGTTCCTGATAACAAAGAAGACAATGATAACATATGAATGGAAGTAAATTGTCTACATTAACCTAATGCCAATAGGTGCTTCATAAAAGACCACACACATGGCACTACACATTCAGTAAGCCGAGTATGGTAAAAATTAGATCCATGAGAAACTCGGAACAGGCTTGAAAGAGGAGGAGAGGGAGGGAGGGAGGGAGGGAGAGAGAGAGAGAGAGAGAGAGAGAGAGAGAGAGAGAGAGAGAGAGAGAGAGAGAGAGAGAGAGAGAGAGAGAGAGAAAATGAATATGGATCTGTATCTGTATTTATGTACATAAGCACAAGTATGTGAATTTGCATGTGCATGTATGTGTATATGTATGTGCATGTGTGTGTATGTGTATAAATGTATGTGTGTATGTGTATAAATGTGTGTGTGTGTATGTGTATAAATGTATGTGTGTATGTGTATAAATGTATGTGTGTATGTGCATGTTTATGGGTGGTATATATAAAAAAAAGAAAGAATGGTAAAAACTAAGGAAAAATAAAAGGAAGAAAAAATAAGGTAACATTTATTAGTATGAACAGATAGGATGATAAAAGGTAAGGAAAGAAATGGAAGAAAAAACAAGGCATAATCTATTATATAATAAAAGTATACATAACATAAAAAATATAATCCAAAATGCTGATAATCTAGTAGTCCTACAAGTAATTCCTCTAATGAAAGTTTCTTTGCATGAAATCCCACAACTATATGGAAAAGGTACCAAATAAAACTTACAATAATGATGCAAAAATTATATTTTCAACATCTCCTACCTGTAACCTTGTAAGAGGCCTCTTGTTATTGGGGTCCAGAGGGAAGATCTGTTCTGAGGCCAGGTAAAGGTCCTTGCGGAAGGTGAGGCCCAGGACATCCAAGTCTTCGCGGCCATATCGGAAAGCAGCTAAAACATGACCAAATACTTTCCGATCCTTTAAATACTCAGGGTCAATGAGTACCACTCCATCTGTAATGAAAGATAATTAGTCAAGTTTTGAGGTGCATGTGTGTGTATTACAATAAGTCAGTTCATAAAAATACATGTGAACTAAATATCTATGTCTGATATATCGGATAAAGATTTTAATCATAAAAGAAATTTCCAGTATAACCACATTTCAACTTACCAATTGGATCTACATGTGTGATGTGATCCACAAAGTCTCTCTTTCCTAAATAAACTGTAATTTTCCCATTTGGAGAACTCTTCTTAAATACTCTGAAATTAATAAGAAACAAAAGAACATGTCATGTCAAGCGATATTCAAATTTATCAACTGAATATAAGAACTAAAAGCTGTAATTA